GGTGGGGGGGGGGGGGTCATCAGGTCTTTCGGCTCCAGATAAGAGTGAAAGTTAGAAAATTTGAAGCGACGAGGTTGATCTTTCGGTTAATTTCTCGTTCAGAGTATTTGTGAAGATGAGTTCTTCGAACGTTATCTTTTTTAATTTCGAAACGGCAACGATGAGATGTTGCTGTTTACGGGGTCGGGAGGGCTCCGCGTTCTCGGATCCGGGCTTATGGAGAGGGACGAGTCGGGTCGGGTCGGTTCGTAAGAATCCCACGAGGAGATGCAGAATCTTTGTTGCGTGTGCTGCTGATTCGGAGAAGAATGGCGGGAGAGAGCATACCAATGTCGGGCCGGATTCGGACTCGGAGCGAGCTTCGGGCTCGTTACTGTCACGGAGCCAAACCTACGCGCTGTTGAAACAGAAAATGGATGTTGCCGCCAAGGCTGAGGTTTGAAATCGATGAACCTTCGTATTTGTTTGCTTTTTGTTGTGATTTTGTTTTTTTTAGTCGTTCATTCTTTTATTATAGGAATCAATCGAAGCAAATGGGTTATGTGGGGATTGCATTATTGAATAAAAATGCCTTGCGCCTTAAATTTGGGTGAGCAAGAAGGCGATGTTTCCGATATTTTTGGTGAAATTTCGATTTAATTTTTCTTGCATGGTGAATTTTCTTTTATGGATTAGACTTTGGGGTTCTTTTATGTGATTCAGGCAGGGATTTGTGTTGGGAACCGTACGTTGTGTAATTTTGTTTCTCGATCAGTTAGAATGCTGAAGTTGCATGATGAGAACTAATGACTGTTTCTTTGATATTTTTGCTGGTTCTGTTAAAATTCTTATGCAGGTTTTTTGGGTTTATTTCATGTAATTCTTGTATAGGTTTGGTAAACCATACATTCTAGTCGGGCTATGATTCTTGAATTTGTAACCGTAAGATCTCTATGTTCTATTGGGTCAGAACTATTTTGCCCTCGGATTCTGTAAGAGCACCGGATTTTATTTGCTTGAATACGATTTCAATGTGTTGCGAAAGGTGGAAAAATAATGTAATGGTAAAAGGGTCTAATTTGGTGTCTACCAACATTCCAATACATTTCGTTTTGTTTCTTTCTAATATAAAAATCTGTACTTTTTTGTATTTGCATGAAAATCTAGAACTACGAAGAAGCTGCGAGGATACGACTTTCTTTGAAATCATTAGAAGATGATGAGCCGGTTTTCCGACTCAAGAGGATGTTGAAAGAGGCAATCCTTGAGGAAAGGTTTGAGGTAACCGTATGTGGCATCCTTTGTCTGATTGTTCATTTGTAGGAAATTTGTGACTGGTGAGGCTGAGTTTTTGTTCAGTAATTCTATAATATATGTATAATATATAAAATCAAGAAACTTAGAGATTCCAATAATGACAGTTTCTATGGTCTCATTAGAAACATAAAGCTGGTTTGATTTCGTTTTTCATGTTATATGATATAACAACAAGGACCACCATAAATTTATGGCCTATATTTTGCTTGACGCCATGGACTGCCATACGCTATTGATAACACTGGTTATATCAAGATTATAAGTAAGCATTTCACTTAGAATCTGTCTTAGGGATCACGATGTCTTTAAACTTACTTTGGGCAGTTTGCTTCAATGAAGGGAAGGACTTTGAGTATTCCAAATATTGTAAATTTTGTCTATACCTCTGATCTCAAATAAAGATTGTGCACCCAAATGCTTATACAAGTCACTTTCGCATTATTTTACTCTGTTCATCTGATAGCATCCTGATGGATTTTTTGATTTAATAATTTATTTTCTTAGGATGCTGCTAGGTACCGTGACAAGCTGAACGAAATAGCGCCCGAGTCTCTTCTGAAGTGTACAAGTGATGCAACTACTTTGGTATGTCAAATTCGAATATTTACGTGCTCCATTTTTTTCCTAGAAGAAATTTGTCTGTGGAAGAATATCTAAATTTTCGGTCTGTAGAATTTGAATATTTACAGGCTCTATTTGATTCTTGATGGAAGAGGCTCAAAACTTCTGTTTGAATGGGACTTTAAAGATCTAAACTAGAATGATAAGCGTATCTGTTTTTATGATTGTCAATTTGTTTCGAGAAAACATCTTCTTCCTACGTCCCAATCTTGACCTCAATTTCAGGGCATCAGGGTTCAAGTTAGGAGTGTTTACATTGAAGGACGAAGTCAACCACTGAAGGGACATTATTTTTTTGCTTATAGAATAAGAATCACGAACAACTCTGACCGTCCTGTCCAACTTCTGAGACGTCATTGGATTATCACCAATACTGATGGCAAAACAGAGCATGTCCGGTTAGTGGAAAGGCTTATTATTTGCTCTTTGTTCTGTTTTGATATTTCCACATCATCTTGTCTGCTCTGCTTTTTGCTTGGCTTTTGAACTGTCTTGAAACATCTATACAGATTCTCGTATCATTTCATTTATTTTGACTTGATACATCATTTTAATTTCAGTGGAGTTGGCGTTATAGGAGAACAGCCAGTTATACTTCCTAATACAGGCTTTGAATACTCCTCCGCGTGCCCGTTAACCACTCCTAGCGGTATAATGGTATGATGGGTTTTCTTCCTTGTAACCTGAAAAAATAAAAAGAAAAAGAATTTTCTTGAATCAGTTGATCTAATATTTAAATGAAAAATCATGCCAGCCCGATTTCTGTAGCCTGCACTGCACTTTCTTCTGACAGATGCCTTTCCTTCATTTATGACAAAAGTATGTCCTGATTGCTGTATTAGTTTCTCGGAGTCAGAATTCTATAGGTGAAAAAACTTCAGAGAGAGCATGAGCTGGAAGAAATTAGGGAGCATAAGTTAGCTGCAGGACCCTGGTGGTTGGTCTAATGGCGAATTATGTATTATGTAGAGTTTGCGGTTTTGTTGGGTTGTAATGGCAAAAGAAAAGACCGAAAACCCTTGGATACGTGGTTTTGGAAAGGGGACAAAAAGAAATAATTTTTTCGGCTTGGTTGTTCATGAACATGGGTTCTAGTTCTCTCCAATTTGATTGCGGAAAGGCTTAAACTTGGAACTAAGGAGTTGTTGTCATTTTATTGCAGGAAGGCGAGTTCGAAATGAAACACATCGACCGAATAGGGGCACCGTCCTTTAATGTGGTGATCGCTCCGTTTAGTCTCTCCGTGGCAGGAGATGCCTCAGATATTTTCTGAGGAAAAAGGGAGAGAGGTATCAGGCTTCTATACGTTTATTGGTCTGCGTGTATATCATAAACCTTTCAGAGCCTATATGTTAGGGACAGAAATTAGTAGTCTCGGTTATTGTATAGAGGTTGGTATATATGGTTTGTAATAGTTGTCGGGGGGACCATACTTGTTTTGGGGGAAAGTTTTAGTAGGGAGAGTTGGTGATCAGATCCGTCCAATCTGTACTTATTGATTGATATCAATAAAGAAACCGAGGTTGTTTTTGTATCGAAGATTGGAAGATTCAGTGACAGAAACCTATGAAAATGGTGTCATAGCAAAGATTTCTTTCAACAATGGCGAAAACCCAATAATCAACAATTGTAGATTTTGGAAAAAAACTGTGTCAGCCGGTTAAAGTTCGATCGAGAAGACGGAGGCAAGTATGGGAGAAGGAATTTTCAAAGGTCAGTTCTATTTTACAATTGCTAATAATTTTGTGTCCGAAGTTGAAGTTACTGGAGGGATTGGAGGAGACTCCAAGACAGAATATTTCTCCTGTTCAATATCCGGTCGTTAAGGAAGAGAGAGATTCAATGGAGGATGATCGAGTTGATATTGCAGATCAGTCTAAATCCGATGCTCGGATTCAAAATGCCGGTAACTGAAAGAAGCAATGTGTTGGGATGGACAGCTCGAGCCTCGAGCATAGCGTTCTTTTGAGCTTGGAGGTAGTAGTGATAGAGAAAAGCTTCGACTCACTTCCATTAGCATTGATGGCAGAGCGTTGAATTGCTACGAGTGGCAGAAGAATTGGAAACAGTTCGTGGATTGGAACGGTTTCAAGCCATGGATGATTGAACGTTATGGCGATGTTCAAGTTGGTTCGACTAGCGATAAGGATGTTTTCTCTGAAACAGACTAGTACTCTTGCGGCGCCGTTGCAGTAATTTTAAGAACTGTTGGCGCAACTTTCCGATTTTCCGGATCGGATTATAGAAAGTGCTTTCAAAAGTGGATTAAAAGTAGAAATCCGATATATGATCGACGTTTTTTCAGCCACAATATCATTTCCTTGGCGATGGGAATGGAAGGAAGCAACATGTGCACTGTTGGTTCATGGAAGGATATTCTGATTTCAGCGTTATTTCAGCATATAACTCAAATGCGACTTCCTTTGGAATAAACCACTTTATCATTCCCATCTCTCAATGGTGTATATATGGCAAGAAATGGTGAATGCCTCTTTGATTGATTATAATATTTGAATGCTGAATTTGTAGGCCTTAGGATCATTCTTGTTCATATTTGCTTCTTTATAGGTGATGTGGCAAGATGCTTTCCATGTGTTTCTTTCTTCAGGTGAGGTTGAATATCTTTCGGACAATCAAAATGTTTTGGCAGTCCCATTTTCGTCTCCATGTTTTTCAACAGATCTGTCAATTAGATCTGATTAAGACTATCCGAAGATGGTTAATCGATCTAAAATCAAGGGAAGTTTTTTTAAAAATCTAGATATTTATATAGAATATTAAAAAAATTTAGGTATTTATATAAAAATTTTATAATTTAAATATTTATTTGGAATTTTTGTAAAAGTTTAGGTATTTATATACAATTTTATCTAAGAATAAATATCGAATTTAATACATCTAGACTTTCACATAGAGATAGAAGATGATAGGAAGAATTGTTTCTATTTTAGATACATAAAAGTTTTTGAATCAATTATGATTATTATAAAATCTTCATGTTTAAAACATTATTTCTAATACTTCAACATTATTAAATCTTCATGTTTAAAACATTATTTCTAATACACAAGTCTATTTCTTGATCTATGATACTCGTTTGTTCTTGGCATACTCATTTCAATTTGACATCTACATCTCTCTAACTCTCTGTGCATACAGTTCTTACACATTGAATAAAACCTCATTGCTAATATTTTTCAGCATTTAACAAATCCATCAAAAGTCTGAGCAGTATCACACAACATGTCAGGAAAACAAACAGGCATGTTCGTAAGCACGACACAATGTCCGACTGTTATGCTATTAATGCAAGAAAACTAAGTCTCTTGCAAAATCAAACAAACCCGTCTCAGAGTACAAAAGCAGCCAAAGAAAAACATGGCAAGAGTCCTGAGACTGAGCACTCTGCGATCTTCTCGGCTTTATTCAAGGAAAACAAATGTTCGTTCTTCAAAGCTTCGCAAGTAGGCCGCTCTGAATCGGTTTGGAGGATATCGCATTGTCCTTGACATCGTTGTCCTTAGTTTCGAATTCACAAGGGTTAGGAGGTACGTCTACCGCAGGAGAGCAGTTGAAGAACCCATGTGGCTGCGCGAAAACACCGGGTTTCGTTTCATTAATCAACAACCCTAAACACTAATGCAGCAATGTGTTTGTGTAAAATATAGATCAGGGCGAGGGTGTCTAAGATGATTACCATTAGCGTGAAGCCAATATGCTCAACGGGCATAACAGGCCAATCTTCCAGTCGGGGGACGTGAGTTATTCCGAACACATACCTGTCATTTGACATGAAATTCACAATCAGGGAAATAACCAAAAGTGTCATGCTGATTAAACCATGTTACGGAGAGCCCTTGACAGCTCAGATGGTCAAATGCAACTCAGAAATGAACTGAATTCCTATATGAAACAAACCAGAGGACAATGTCGGATTCTTCCAATGATCTGTTCTGCTTAACCCATGTAGCAAGACCTTCACCAACACGCGGGTTTTGGTTCGGAAACTCTCCACCAGGAAACATCTCATTGGGATCATAGGGTGTAACCCAGAGATTATGCTTCAGGAAAGTAGCTCTTCTCAAAAACTTGGCCTCAGGACGAGCTAATGGCAAACAGTTTGAACCAGGTACAAGTTTGTACCCCGTCAATTGGCCTGTCCTGTTCACAGTCCTTGTGTTCCTTACCTGTCATATCATTAAGTGTCTCGTTTGCAGGCAGAAGAAAATATGTTCACAGAATACACACATGACAGAAACATATCATTTGAAAAGTAGCAAAAGATAGCAACGGAAGGAGACAGTGTATTGTGAATAACTAAAATCTGATTTCCGAAATGGAGAATTTGCAAGGAGAGTTAGACGACAACAACTGATGTTTAGGTGGGTGAAGCAGTCTATCGCCTAGGGTCTTTTTGGGACGTGAATAGAGAATTATTTACATTGCCATGATGGATAAAAGATTGCTACAGCTAGTGGACACAGAAATAAGGATAGCAAGAAAGAGAATGAAACATTGAGTTTGCATGGACTATTGGATGGTGCAATTAATGGACATAATGGAATTTGTAAGTGATGTCCTAAGCTTACAGCATAAAACAGAAAAAATAGTCATTCAGTACAGGAAATGTTACAGTACATGAGATCACGTGAGACAAGGATTACTTACAACCCAATGGCGAGCAGACAGTGGATCACAATCTCGCATTGCCTCCAACTCAGTTCTAAGCAACTTTTCTTCGGCATAGAACGCATTATTATGAACATTATTCTTGCCAGGCTCATCAACTCTGACGTTTACCTCAACAACCTACATAAAACAGCTCATCACAGTTTGTTTATGTTGTTGTGCAAGGGATGATATATTCTGGATCACCTAAACACATCTACTTTCTAAAACTGATTCTAGAAGACATAAGGGCGAAAGTTATAATCGACATACAACATAATTATTGAAATGCAGGAATCAGGATGTTACAGATGCCTCTACATAAAAATAATGGCCGCAGTGTCACTCGTATAAACCGGGCATCATTTCAGTGTGTGGTTAAACGCCATTGACGGAAAGGGTACCTGATTAAAAGCTTCACCAGGTTTGCAGTCAACAGCCATATCCATGCGAGCAACAAAGAAATGCTGATGGACTGGTGCATACAATCCCGGTGCAATAGTAGTACCATATTTTCGAGTTTCTCCGGGCTGCAGAGCCCCTAGACTGAGGATACCGGTAAGTTTTACTTCAGCTTCTATTTTTCCATCCTGCAGCAGTATAAATATGTCAGTGGTGACAAAAGGAGCTTGCCATGATTTTTATCAAGATGAGAAATTGAAATTCGTCTCTAAATTTCTAAAGTCATGAAACAGCTTCCACATTACGAAACAGCCAGAGTTTGGACAGATATATACTGCATAGAATATCCTGACTTAGAACGATAAGCGAAACATATATGGATCAAGGTCTCATAAACCCTTCCGAACTCAATATCCTACACATCAACTTAAACCTTTCACATAGTAATGATTTGCAACAATGACTAATTTCGAGCTCACTCTAGAAATGATAAATTCACCGACTTACCTGGTAGAAATGCCAGTAGAATCCATACTCGTAGTTAGCCACAGTGCATATAAAAGACACTGTTAACCTTCTAGATCTTCGGACTTCGGCTAATCCTGTTCTCCAGTCTTGGTGCTTCCACAAAATTCCATGGTCCTCTTCATGCAAACACACACAATTCTCAATGGTTTCAACCCCTCCAGTGAAGTCTGTGAAATGAGCATCGAAGTACTTGATAAAGCCAAGACAGTCACATCCCTACAGAAACCAGCTCATTAAGCACACCAATTGAGATATGAAAAAAGATAATAAATCATATCAATGCATTTCAAACCTTCTTAAGTGAATGTGCATTTTTCCCGAGACCATCCTCCCCTGCATCAAAGGCATTTTTCCTGTAGTGTGGATCATTAGGATCCCCATAAGGCACAACCATCTCAACGAAACTTAGCCTATGGGCAACAGGTCTTCGACCTCGACTTCCATCAACATATGCAACTGAATGTATTACCAAACCCTCTTTCGGAGTGAACCCGATACGAAAATTCCACTGTCAACAAGATGGTGAAAAAATTTAGAAATAGCCTTAAGCGTGACGGTTTTGTCTAATTTAGGAGTAAAAAAAGTTGTACCTTCTGCCATTCCACAAAGTAATCCCTGACGCGGAAGCTTGGACCTTCAGGTTGTACAATGTTGAGCGGTTTAACATCACTTCTATCAACACCCCCTCTAGTTTCCCCTGGGGTATAATTCCTCAAAGGGTCAGGTTGGGGAAGCGGAACAAACTTACGGTCTTCAAACTCAATAACAACCATGTTTTGCATGTCTACTAGCACATAAATTCCCTCAACTGGACGGGCATAACCATTTTCCATTGGGGAGTCACTATCTGTACGGCAAAATATGAGTGGCTTTGCAAGCCTACGGCTAGGTGCGTCAGCTTCACTGTAATAACCAACACACCTGCACAGAAAATTCGGACCCGAGCTCACAACAAAGAGTACTAATCAATTGGCAACTCACAGCATTAACCATGCAAAGTAAACTTACCAGGGATCAACCATCACGAGATCCATGTCTTCAATACCCCTCCTCTTCATCGCCTCTCTAAATGGAGGAAAGTCTTTTACAGTGGCTTCACATTCAGCATATTCAGCCGCATCCTAAAATCACAAGAATATAAACTTGAAAGCTGATAAACAAACAGTACAACCTAAAAATCTTTTGGACAGATAATAAATCATACCATTGGTGGCTGAACATCAGGAATAACTTGTGAGGAAACCACTTTTCCCCTGTGATGCCCACCTCGAGTGACGGCATGAACCTCAGATAGCTCCACTATCCATTCACTTGTCTCATTTGACTTTTTGTTATAAACGATAAGGCTAGCTCGCCTTGGAGGGAGCTTTGTAGGAATGATAGGTCCGCCTTTGAATCTTGGAAGTAAAGATGGCTGGAAAGGTGGAAAGAAGTAAGCATCAGCCAGTGCGACGACACGTTTCTCTGGTTCGATCAACACAACCTCGATGAAACGCATACCATCTCTAACCTGCAACGGAACATTAATCAGTTTCCGCAATATATTGTTATATCTTCTAGTTTTCGTTTTCTTTTCTTTTTTATTTTTGTGTATAAAGGGTCATTGCTCAGTCAGAAACAGACAAAACAAGACAAACGCACACACATTGAGGCAAATTTACCCATTTCTGCCAAATTTGACAAGGTTTCCCGTTTCTAGGAAACATGATATTTTATGACAAACACCACAAAGATTTGAAAGTGAAGTGAACGCAATTGTACTCAGACTAGCATCGCTTACACCAGCATACACTCCAATTTCGGACACAAATATATTCTTCATACAATATAACTCAATCGTACAGTATCGAAATCATAACAAGTTCCACGCACCTCAGGGGTTGCACCAGCTGCCCTTACAGTTGCCACTGCTACGGATATCTCAGCTGCGGATAAGGGATCCAAAGGGTGTTTAGTTTCAGTCCTTGGCATCAGAGAGATCCCTGCAAAAGCAACGAAACATAGTTCATAATCTACAATGAGAAACTTGAGCAGTAAAAGTGTCAAAGATTAAGTGACATGACACCAGGAGTTCCCGCAGTTCAGCTTATGGGGTGACATCATAGAGGGTCAACTAATCTGTCAAATGATGACCCAAAGTCATACAATACGAGAACAACAGGGAAATATAGGCCGGCCATAAAATTCGTCAGAAAAATAAGCGAACGAAAAAAAAAACTCACTGAAAGAGGAAGAAAATAAGAGAATTAAACGATCTCATTCAATTGACTTGGATCAAAGTTAGGATATCTATGGTCCACAAAAAAAACCCAGAAATGTCTCAAGGAAATCGGAAGATTTAAAATCAAAAGCAAAAGGGCAAAAAAGTGACGGAGGATCAAGCGATCAATCGCAGAAACAGAAAAAAGCAAATACTTAAAAGAAGTATTTGGGTCTTTGCATGCTGCGTGTGTGTGAGATTCACAGTACCTTTGTTTGCGGGCTTTTTGGTCGTATCAGGAAGCGAATCGACAGGACGGATCATGGATTCCAAGTCAACCTTAGCGGTTTGCTGATCGTCGCGGTTGGCGTTGCCAACGGACCAGCCGGCGACCGCATTGGCCATGGTGGCAGCGACCGGCGGAGATGGAAGAGAGCCGGCGACGGCGGCAGCGGAAAGACCGTTGTGATCGCATGGCGCCGCTTTTTGCGAAGCTGAGGCCATTGAAGAGGGTTGACGAGTTCTCCAAATCCACCAAAACAAGCCTCGACACAGTCTACTGACATACAGCAAAATCTCTAAGCCTCTCTCCTGCCTGTATCCCTATCCCTGTCTCTCCGATCAGATCTCTACTATGAAGGAGGTTGAAGAAGCAAGAGGAAGGGGGAGAAGGGAGGAAATCAAATCAAATAATGAGAGAGGCTGATCAGCACGTCCATTAAATGGACAGGGAAGACATTAGTACAGATATGTAAAGCAAGCGCACCAAGATAACGACAAAATCTTTCCTTTTACTTTTTTTTTTATCGGACCCGATTTTTTTCCTCTTAAAAACATTGAAAACGAATTTTTTTTTTCCGTATCAGACAGATTTTTTTCCTCTTGAAAACTTTTGAGAGGAAACACCGCATCATTGTTGGAATCAACTTCCAAATAAAATGGGGGAATTTTGGGTAATTTTTGAAAAATGTTCTGTACTATTCTGTACCATAATGGCAAAACCAAAAGACAGAGATGCATGCACCATGAAAAGTTTATATTGTTTGGGTGACTTTTTAATAAAATCACGTGGAGTAATGCACGTCGAATCTATTATCAACTATATATTTTAACATGAACGACTAAATTATTTAATATAACATTATGGACTAAGTTGAAAAGAATAATATGCGCATGTAAAAAATAATAATTAGAAAGTTGCGAGATCTCTTGAACAAGATGAATTCAATCTCTATAAAACATGTTAATCATCTTCCCAAAAAGGAAAACAAAAGGGTCGCTCACGGGATATGGAACAACAGACGAACGAAACCTTAAATGCCTTCGTCTCGCTCGTGACAAAACCCTAAATCCTGCATAATTGTTATAAAAACTGAATTGTTATAATTTCTTTAAAATTAAAGAAGTCGAATTCGAAGCAAATTGAATAAAAATAATCAAAAATTTGAATATATGTTTAAAAGATGAATAATTTTATCGATAAAAATCAAAACCAAACATACTCGTACCGAAATAGAACTTAGGAAAATTCAATATAAAAACAACCGAACGCATATAATTTTTTTTGAAACCGAATATAATCCGATAAAAAAATTGATCCACACAGTATCGAGATCGGACTAACTAAAGATCAGATAATCCGATCGAAAAAATTGAACTTGTAAAGATCGAGATCCGATAATCCAAATATAAAAGAAACACGTGGGAAAACAAATGACGATATATATAAGTTATAACCTTGTCGGGATGAAGGTAGATTGAGTTCCGGAAAATGAGGACGAGACCCGGCGTCGTCGAGGACACTAGCAAAGGCACGAGCCTCGTCGAGAGAATTGGCAATGCCCATCTTCTCAGAAGCTTCCAGAAGGTCTTTGTAAGCCATCTCTTCCTTCTCCGCCATACTCTGAAGCTTCTTCTTCATCTCCTCCACATTCTCCATTCTCATCTGCTTCTTCGCCGTCTCCAGCATCGTAGATGGCTCCGCCGTAATGGCCCGGCACCACCGCCTCGACGCTCTGCTCGCGGCCAACCCCACCGTTCGCCTCACAACGTCCACATCTCTCTCTCTTCCCGTTCTACGACGAACCCAGAAATATTTGGAAAAAAAATTTAAATATTATTATTATTATTAATATTAATATTATTAGTATTATTATAAACCTTGGAATCATGTGAAATGGTGGAGTTTTAGACCTCATAAGCGGATGCCATGCATGTGACTTCTGTTTGGCTATGGTTTGTGACGAAAAGGATGAATCTTTTCTACCAATAATTAATTTTGATTATTTAAATTGAAAATAGGAATATTGGGTGGTACGTGAAATGATTGCTATCGTGTTTTTTTCTCCATTTAAAATAATAAATTTGTGAAGGGAATTAAGGCAAAGAGACAAAGGTCCCAAGATGCCGAAGGCACGAGCAAATGGGTTTCACTCGCTGTGATGCATTACGAGTGTGTATATATATGTACACACTGTCTTCATTGTGGAAATATAAGGCGCGTGCGCTGTCTTTTGCCTGCGCGTGATTTTTTGTACATGATGGCCAGGCCCATTGCCATTGGAGGCGTTGACAGTTCGGGCCACCCACTGAAATAGTATTTAATAATTCATTATTCCATTGGCCCACCATAGATTTCTGAAAGGGGCCATGTAGGCCCAACAAAGGCCCATTAAAGGCCTTAAAAAAAGCAACAGCGCCGCCTTTTCTCGGGGTCTCACTTCTCCTCCTGCCCTGCGCCATAAGTGGCTAAATGCCAGGAACACAAAGATGCTCGTCTTTTTTTAGAAAGATTCTAGCTCCACTTTCAGTTGTCTATGTAAGAAATAAATTAAATCTTAGATTATGTTCTTTTCTTACTACTTTTATAACCATCATATTTACAAAACTACAAATAGATAATATTTTTCAAAAATGATCATGATTTATTTTTTATTTAATTTATATATATTTGATCCTTATATATTTAGTTTGATTTATGTACAAACAAAATTCAATTTTATTTACATTTTCTCATTGTTTCTCATATTCCAAACTAAAATTGGTTCAAATTTATGGTTTTCTTATCAGATATTTTCCAGTTTTTATTTAAATTAAATCATTTTTAAAAATCTCGTGACAAATTTTGTTCCCATTTTTCAGGTTATTTTAAAAAACCCGACCAAAAGGTGCGAGAAAATCGGATCAAAGAGTATAAAACAGAATCGCCTAAATAATATTTTCCAACAGGGGGAATTGAAAAATTATGATTTTCCTCCATCACTAATGCTAGAATCTTTGCATCATGAGTAGATCTAGGAATGCCAATATACGCATATGTAAAAAGCATGTCGAGATTACATATTGCTAAGATGTTCAAACTAGTGTCTCTCTTCCGGTCGACAGTT